CAAACGTCTCCTCTCTCAGATCCAGCATCCTTTGTACCCCTGCCTCCCTTGAGTTTAAGAGTTCCCAGTCTTCGGTTTCCTCCTCAGGCCCTCCTCTCTCAGACCCACTGAAGCCTTCGCCTCCCCCACGTTCAGATCTGGAATAGTCCCTTCCAGCACCCCTGACTTCCTCCTACATTTAGACTCGAGAATCCATCTGCCTGGATTCCCGGACCCCTTCTCTCTCTCAGCCCCACACGTCTCCATGTACCCCCTCTATGTGCAGCCCGGGTTTCAGGACCACGTCTGCCGGGCTCTGCACGGCCAGCACTCACAAATCGAGAAGAGTTGTCGTTCTTGACCGTCTTCGCGTTGCCAAAGGCCTCCAGGATGGGATTGGCTTGAAGAAGCTGCCGCTCTAACTCGCCCTGTTAGGGCGTGGGGAGACGGAGCATCAGTGAGAGCTGAAGTGTGGGGGGGTCTACTCTAGGGGGGGGGCACACATCATGTTTCCAACTGCCTGAGGCCGATCTACCCTGGGGTGGGGTGGTGGGTGCGCTGTGTTTGCAGCTGCCTCAGTTTCTGACTGTGACAGGCCCTTGTGTGTGCTGAGGTGCTCGCCTGCCTGCATCTGAGGCTTCCCCCACGCACCTAATGGGAGACCATACAAGGAAACGTCCAGAAATATTTCGAGTGGAAACACAAAACAAGCTAGAGAGTCCTCAACAAGAGCTGTGACCCCATTATTAAAAACATCATGAGTAAAAAGCCACCCCAGAAACAAGACCTTTAACTTTATAGTTATGTATGTGCTGGAAAACAGACACAGATTTGTAAAGACAGGCCTCACACTCTCAGGAGGTAAACCACATCAAGACGGAAGGGCGAAGGGAGTGCACCATGTCTGGCCTTCTGAGAGCACCGAGAACATGCTCTGGAACTAACTGGAATGTCTGACCGCGAGTAAGGCAAGGATCATAGGTCAGTTCCGGGCAGAGGAGAGATGGCATCCAATTTAACTGATAACAAGAGGTGCTCAATAAATCCTCTCCTTTCCCCTAATAAGCTAGGAAGCCCAAAGGTGTATTACAGGAAATCGGGAACTTGATAATAATGAGTTTCCATTGCCAATGCTATTATTATCATAAGGACCTCTGGGGACCTAGTCTGTAGAGAGATGCCCTGTCAGCCTAAAGGCAGTGTGTCGGGCAGTTCAAATCCACCCTCCTCTCTGCAGGAGAAAGATGGACAGCCTCATTCCCGGGATTCACAGCCCCAGAAACTCGGTGGAGGGTCAGCTGATAAGTCAGCTCTGACCTAAGTCGAATACGTTGTGTTCTGGTTTGTTGTTGTTGCTTTGTTTTGTTTGTTAGCTCGCGTTACTATTACCTTTGACTCTCAGTATCTTTCTAAGTGTCGTGGAGGTCAGAAACGCTACATCTGAGAATGACAACATTATTCTCAAATTACAAGCTACAGCACTAAATGTGGTAAAATGTCCCCAAAAAAGACTGTGAGAAACGCAGGTCCTCAGAACTCGATTGTGTCATAAATTAGGTTACCACCCTTATTCAGCCACTCAAGTATATATGTCATTGTCCCCTCGGTTCCAGGGAACGGGGCCCGACACACAGCAGATGTACAAACAGCAACTCCCTCGCTGCCCCTCTAAGCAGGTTCTCAAGGGCACTGTGCATTTCTCTCAATTCCCTGGGAGCTATCAGAGCCTGAGCTAGGCCCAGGCACCTAGTAGGTCTGTACTAAATGGTTCTGTTGTCTTTGGGTTGTGGGAACACAGAGAGTCTGTGAGCCCAGTCTCTGTGCACTTAGTAGGTGAGTAATAAATGTTCACTTGCTTTTACCATTTGCTTTTTCATTTGGCTTGTTTAACGCTGTTCCTGCGAGCCAGCGTACATACACACAGTAGGGCTACTGTAAATGACAGGGTGGGCACAGGCCACAAGTACACAGTAAAACAGCAATAATGGTTCCAGGCTGTGCACACAGTAGGTCTGCCATAAACAACAGCGTTAAGTCCAAGCTGGGTACATAGAGTGGGCGTGACAGAGCCAGCAGTTGTTTACACTGTGCACACAGTGAGACCACAAGAGGGAATGGAAGCCCAGGCTTCCACTGCGCACACAGTAAGACCATTACCATGGCAGGCTGGGTGCACAGTATGGCCACTGTCAACGGGACTATGGAGCCAGGCTGTGCACACAGTCAGACCACCACACACAGAGTGTAATTCTAGGCTGGACGCATTAATATACCACAGAAGGAAGTGAAAAATCCAGGCACACAGTAGGATCACTACATATGGTACTGTAATTCCAGGCTGTGCACACAGTGGGGCCACACAGGGCAGTACACGTGTAGGCTGTATATACAGAAAGGCCACCCCACACAGTAGTGGGCCTAGGCTGTGTCAACAGCATTTCCGCCATAACCAGCAGTTGGTTCTAGCTGGCGCACACAGTAGGGCCACTACACGTGGCACTGTAATTCCAGGCTGTGCACACAGTAGGGCCACACAGGGAAGTACAGGCCTGGGTCATGGCCACCCTACACAGCAGTGGACCTAGGCTGTGCAAACAGCAGCTCTGCTATAAACAGCAGTTGGTTCTAGCTGGTGCACACAGTAGGGCCACACACAGCACAGTAGGTCTTGGCTGTGTACACACAGGCGCCACCGTAAACAACAGCCTGGGTCCCTGGCAGATGCAGCATGTGCCTTGAGCTCTGTCCACCAGGAAGACACTGGGGGGCTTGGGGACACTCCAGGTAAGTTTCCCTGTTACTCACATAAGACATGGTGCTGGCGGAGGTCTGAGGAAGTCACAGGACACGAGACACGGACCAGGACACGGCACATGGAACGTGGACAGACAGAGGTGAACTGGGGTTCCGGGTGGGGAGCGGGTGGGAGGGAGAGGGGGCTGGGAAAGCAGGTTTGTGGAGGGGCTGCATCGCAGACTCAAGTCACCCGCCCACAGACGACCACCTGTTTCTTAAAATCATCCAAGCGAATCATCGTCTGTTTAGAAAACAAACTGAGGCGGCAGCAGGTGCTTGAAAGCATGCCTGACACTGAGGAGGCGCCCAGGGATAACGGTCCCACTAGAGGCAAGCACAGGAGCCCTGGTAGCATAGGGGCAAAGCGCCCGGCTCCTGGCTGAAAGGCTGGTAGTTCAAATCCATCAGCGGCCCCATCGGAGAAAAATGTGGTCCCATAAAGATTAATCTGATGGGGCGATTCTGCTCTGCTCAGTGGGGTCACTGTGAGTCAGAATCCTCTCGACAGCAATGGGTTGTTTTTTTTTAATCAGGAATACAAAATGCACAGTTGTCAACTGACATGTCATTGGTTTGAAACCACTAGCCACTCCATCAGACAAAAATGGACAGTCTCCTCCCGTAAGTGTTTATTCCCTTGGAAAGTCAGGTCACCATGAGTTCGAACCAACTGGATGCCAGTGGGTGCATTTATTTATTTCTCCTGTGGAGCGGCTTGTGGGTTTGAACTGCTGACCCCCTCGTTAGTGTAGCTTAGTGCTTCAGCAACGTGCTATGAAGGCTGCTTCGGTAGAGAATGTAGCCTCGGAAACCTGCCGGGACAGTTCTGCTCTGTCTTATAGACACAAAATACGCCAGGCCAGGCGAGCTCTGGTGGCCTAGTGGCAAGAAGCTGCACTGTAATAGCAGAGGTACGCAGTTCGAATCCACCAGATGCTCTGTTGGAGAAGGAGGGACAATCTCCTCCGGTACCAGTCAGATATGATTTGATGGCACACACAAATAATAATTAAAAAAAAATACGCCAGGCCAGAGAAGCTGACACAGGCCCTCACCCTCTGCACACCTCACCTCTGCTTCCAGCGCTATGCCCGGCACACAGAGGGTGCTTAAAAGCGGCTAGGAGGGAGTCCCAAACCGTGGGCCCCTAGGCGATTGAGGGATTAGAGGTGCAGCGCAGGGCCTGGAGATGCCTCAAAGCTGCACATGTGTAATAGGACCAGGATCAGTGGCAGCGTGGGTTCCAGGGAGGTGTGACTAAGTCCAGCTGCTGCATTGGTAAGACAACGGGCCGGGGGTGGGGTGTGGGGGGGGGGCAGAGAGGGAATTGAGGGCGGGGAAGACTCCACTCACAGGGACCCCCGGCTCCTTCCGGCCCTTCGGGGATGACGCCACGTGGGCGAGGTACTGGATGACCTTCTTGGTGTTTTCAGTCTTCCCAGCTCCAGACTCCCCGCTATAGGGAGACAAGGGGAAGAAAAGGCGTGAAGCCTCCCTCCAAACCTGCTCGTCCCAGAGCCTGGTCCAGCCCCCACCTCCTCTAAGCAGTTCTCCCTCCCAGGCAGCCCCTTCCTCCCCCAGGGAATCCTCTCACATAGCCAACTCCCACCTCCTCCAAGGAGTCTTCCCACTCAGCCAACCCCTTCTTTCCCTAGGGAGTCCTCCTATGCAGCCATCCCCCTGCTCCCCCAGGGAGTCCTCCCACTCAACCAGGCCCCTCCTTCCCTAGGGAGTCCTCCCCCCCAGGGAGTCCTCCCTCCCACCCAGTCATCATGCTCCTCCCACAGGGAGTCCTCCCACTTGGTCCCTCCTCCCCAAGAAGTCCACCTGAGCATCCAACTCCCTCCTCCTCCAAGAAGTCCTACCACCTACATCCCCAGGAAGTCTTCCCACCCACCCAACCCCTCCTCCCCCAGAGAATCTTCCCACTCAATCCGCCCTTCTCCCCAGTAAGTCCTCCTATCCAACTGGCTCCCTCCTCCACCAGGACATCTTCTTACCTAATGGAGTCCTCCCTGGGGGGGACCTGGACCCACCCAATCCCTTCTCTGACCCCCTTTCCATGGGGCAGCCAGCTCCCCTGTCCCCCAGGGAGTCCTCCCATTCAGCCAAACCACTCTTCCCCTAGGGAGTCCTCCCACCCAGCCAGCCCCCTCCTCCCCCAGGAAGTCCTCCCACCCAGCCAGCCCCCTCCTCCCCCAGGAAGTCCTCCCACTCAACCAGCCTCCTTCTTTCCCAGGAAATTCTGTTGCTCAGCCAGCTTCCCTCTTCCCCTAAGGAGTCCTAACACTCACCCAGCACCTCCTACGCTGCAGAGTCCTCCTCCAGGAAGTCCTCCCACCCAGCGCCCTCTGCCCCCAGGAAGTCCTCCGGGATTACTCACGTGCACAGAATAGACTGATCCTCACGATCTGTAAGGGACAGGAAGCAGGGGAGGGGGACGTGTCACTTAGGGGAGGGTCTCTCCAGCAGGATCCTGGCCTCTTACACCAGCCACCCCCGTTTTCAAGATCATTGTCCAGGACTGAGAGAAAGCTCAGCTCTGTCTGGGGATGGGACACTGTGAGATTCCGATGTCCTGGCCGGACTCTGACTCCCACTCTTGCTGTGTGTTTTTGGGGAAGTAGCTGTGCCTCTCTGAGCCTCATCCACCTCTTGGCTTCCCTATGTGACCCAGGGCCAGGTTCTGAGTTGCTTCATGCACCACCTCCCTCACAGGACCCCCGTCATAATGAAGGGAGAACATTCCAGAAAATGGAACAATAAACCTCAACAGAATTGAATAATCCACTCAACACACTTCAATCTGAGCCCCTGGTGAGAGGTGACACTGAGATCCAAAACTCAAGAGGGAGGTCCTGGATTTGAGCTCAGTCCTCAATACCTCATGAAACAAGTGAATGGTTGAAATAAGGTGCCCTGATGTTACAGTGGCTTAACTACTTGAGCTAATCAAATGGTTGGTGGTTCGAATCCACCGGGAGAAAGAGGTGACAGATGATTTCTGTGACGATTAAAACAAACCAAACTTAACCTACTGATGACACAGGGACCCACCACTGGGTTTCCAAGGTTATAAATCTGCATTTATGAGACGAGGCTGCCCACCTGCCTGGCTTCCTCAGAGCTGCTGGAGGATTTGAACCCATGACCTATGGATGAGCAGCCTGATATGTTACAGCCTCAGAAGCTAATGGGGCAGTTCTACTCCAATCTAGGGTCACTATGAGTCAGAATCAAAGCAATGACAATGGCTTCGGGGTGATATGATGTGCCAGGAGTGTTTCTGCAGGGGGTAAAGATGTGGGGACCAAAGGGTAGAAAGTAATGAGGTAAATTATGCTCTTGTTGTTGTTGTACTGAGATGTCAGAACCAAGCCACAGCTGACACTCCAGCGGATTTTTGGAAGCAGTAAATCTCACGGGCAGTAACTAGGGATGATAGAAGGAGAACTGATGCCTTTGAGCTGTGGTGCTGGAGAAGAGTATTGAATAAAACCATGGACTGCTAAGAGAACAAACAAGTTTGTCCCAGAGAGGATGAAGCCAGGCTGCTCCTTGGAGGTAAAGATTCTGAGACTTCTTCTGACATTCTTTGGACATGTTGCAAGGTGGGATCAGTGCTTGGAGAGGGACGTCATGCTTGGGAGGGTGGAGGGACAGCGCAGGAGAGGAAGACCCTCGATGAGATAGATTGATTCAGTGACTGGGGTAATGGGGATAGGTGTGTTAGAGACAGTAAGATTGCGAGGGATAGAACAGGGTTTAGGGCTGTCGTACACAGGGTCGCTATGAGTCAGAAGTGGCACACAGTAATAATAACAACACAAATCTCATGGGAGATGATTGTTCATCTTTCTCTCATGGAGCAGCTGGTGGATTTGAACTGCATACCTTTGCATCAGCAGCCCAATTCTTTAGCATTAAGCCACCAGAGCTCACTGACTGAACAGCACTTCCCCAAATGTATGTCCACTTGGCTGGGCCAGGAGCCTCAGTGGTCTCGTAGTTATGCAACGATGTCATATGGAAGTAATGCGATGAGGTCATCACCCCTGTGATGTGATCCCATGTGATCACAGCCAGTCAGCTGTGAGGGGATTAGTTAGGGCAAGACACCCCACACCCCTAGTCAGATTGAAAAACCCGCGAGGGAGGGTGTGGCCTGCAGCATCATTTTATTTATTTATTTATTTTAATGAAAGTTTACAAAGACAGGATTTCCAGTCATTCA